CAATCCTTTGTCGCTCTTGGGCAGCCCTCAGGGCTTCTTCGGCTTTTTCAAGTTTTTGCAACATTTCTTGGTTTTCTGAGTCTTTTTCGGAGACCTTGGAGAGGACTTGTTCCCATTTTTCAGAAAGGTCAGTTTTCTGCGCTTGGAGATTCAAAAGCTCCTTCTGAGTCTTCTTGAATTTGGCTTCTTGGGCTGATTTCTCGGACGCAACTTCCTCAACGCGAATGCGAAAACCTTCGGCTTCTACGCTGAGCTTTTCTAATTTCAACGAGAGATCCTGTTGGAAAAATGAATCAATGTGGAGTACTTCATATATTACCCGCATGGTCACGGAAATAAATTTCCGATTTTGCAATAAAAATTCGAAGCAAAAAAAAAAGCTGAGATTAACAAAAATCCGACATTACGGTATTTACGAAAGATATTTCAAAAGTTTTATCAATATATTGAATACTTCGAGAGGGCTTTCTGGATTAATACTGCATTACATAAATCCCTGACGATGCCCCACGGGAAGATCGGCAAAAGGTTCATTCAACGCTTTCAATCTCCTCTGCCACAACATTCTTCGGCAAAAACTCACCTTTATGCGAGCCTCGTCGAATTCCGCATATTTCACGAGATTCAAATTATCTTCGTGTTTTTGAGCGAGTTTCTCAGACCAGCTCTTGTACGTATCTTCATCCCATTTCAGCTCATTGCGTATCTTCGTGATCTTGCTGAGGTAACTTGTGATTTTAGCCTGTGAAAAGAAGTTTTCCGTGCGACGTAGAGAAATTACATGAACAAAATAAAAAGTAATAAGACTATACCCTCGTTTCGTCGCATTTTACGTGTATATCACCGTCGTCTTTCTCCAAGTCTGCGATATGACGACGAGCGACACGAATTTCTGCTTCCGCTCCCCGAACTGAGACAAATGCCGATTCCAGCTCGGATTCTTTGTTTGAAATTAATGTCTAACAAGAGAAAACAGAGTTTTTTTTTTCTATATCGAGCAATTGAAACCAGACGAGATGAACCTCGAGCAAAACGAACCTCGATCGACTGTCTATCATCATCGACGTCCTTCAGATGCTTCTGAACAACCTTGATCTTTTCGTCAAATTTCGCGGCTTTGTCCCGAAGCAAGGCAGCAATCGCAAGTTTTTCTTTCAACTGCAAGCGAAGTCAAATCAAGGTTCATTTAAAAGTTTGCATGAATAATGATGAAAATGAACAAAATTTCGCAGGAAATACTGTCGCAGGAAATACCATTTCACCCCTGCTTTTTCAAAGATTACATTCCGTTTCGAACATACGACGCTCTTATTCCCAAAATTGGCTTCTCATAACATTAGGGTGCGTCTTAGATTCCGGTGAAATCAAGTTAATCCTTCTGACCAACACAAACTTCGGAATAAAAACTCTGTTTAAAAATCAATACCTGTACTGTAATACAAATTTTCGCATAACTTCAAGTTGGCGTGATAAGAGTTTCGAATCGAGTTTTTTCTGCGGAAATGCAATTTCCGAATAAATCTGACTCGCATCAGATGCATGCGTAGTATCAACGAACTCTTCAATTCTAAATAACACGAATATAATTACAGTACAGTACTTCACGCAAGAGAAAAATGTTGTTTTTATAAGAAAAATAAAGAGGACCATCCCATAACAGGTAGCATCTCACGTCCCAATAAATACTGTATCTTCAATCTAACCTGCTGCTGAAGTAACTTGTTTTCCTCGCTAGCATTAGGGATGTCAAAAGGATCGATCGATCCGAATGACTCCAAAAGATCCCTGTCAGAATCTTCCAGCGTCATGATATTGTCGAAGAAAATTTTTGCAGCTCGCGTTCAACTCAAATATGACCTGAAAAAAATATACAAATATTATCAAAAACATGATGCAATAGCTTCGTAAAGCGAAAAAATACTAAACGTTCAGACATCGAATTCGAATGCCTAAATAATCAAGCAGAATCATTCAGCATTTCTGCGAAAATGTTCTCGGCGGTTGAAATTATATTGAGCAACACAATTCATCATTTATTTTTAAAATACATTTTTGAAAATCGAGAAGAATAAAAATTAAATTCAAAAAGTTCTGAGCTGTTTAATGTAGTTCTGTGAATGCAGTATTTCTTCAACAATTTGAATCCCAACGCTTTGAGCAGACAATAAATTCCATATTTATATTCCGAAGTCAGCATTCCTAGTTGTCAACATCTCGCACAAAAAAAATCCCAAGCACCGAAATTCTCACTCACCTTCAGAACACGCAACAATATTGAACCACTTTT